TGAAGATTTTTTAAATGCTAGAATAATGATCGTAAATGTTCTATTTTAATATTTTAATATAATAACATTTGTTTGTTTATAACAAATTAGAATTAGTGTGAAGTTTGTTGCTGATGTTTGAAATAAGTTTATGGATTCTTGGCTCTTTTCCACAAAAGACAATCGCACTTGTGGTGGAACTGGAATTGTGCTTGGCATTAAGAATGTCTGTGTAGGAAGTAGTGACACTAATCCCTGTTGGATAAGATAGTTTGACTTTCAGATCCCTAAAGAGGCCCACAGCCTGATATATGCAACCAAAGAGCTGAGATACCCTTTCGCTGATCTCTTGCTGTTCCTCCTTTTTAATGTTAAAACTACAGGTTTTAAGTTATGATTTTCCCAAACAATTTTAACTGACAGTTTTCTTTTTTACTTCATATTAAATTTCTTCTGCTTTACAGAATTGAATCTGGTATTGAATTTTTAATTTGTTTCGGCATAGAACCATTTTAATGGATTGATCAACAATACAAGCTTTTAGAATTGTTCAGATAACTCATATTAATAGGTACAGTAAAATTAATAAGTTAATTTACTGTAAATTCTGTTTACAATGCTTAGACCAAAGCATTTAAGTAAAATGCAGTAATACAAAAATACAAAATCACATAATACAATAATAATAAATGAAAAAAAGAGTCTCTGTAAATAATAGATTTAATGCAATGATATGAACATCAAATAATGATTGTGATCACATGCTTTTGAAAACTATTCCAAAAAAAAAAGCAGTCATAATCATCTGCATCATTTTCTTCAGTATTATTTGCCTTTTGATCATAATTCAAGCTAATGTCAATAAGGCATGTTACACTTTCTTGGATATTGTAATTGTAACAAATATTACTTTTGCATTTTAATCCTGCTTGAATTGTTAACACTGCATTTAAAATTTCCACAAATATTCTGTTTCTTAATTTGGTTTTTATAATGTTCATCCGACTGAAGATGTGTTTGACTTCAGCATTTCAGTGTGGTATGTACAAAATGTGTTGAGCAAAATCAGTCAGTTCTTTGTACAGGTTTTGTCCAATAGCATCTCTGTGTAAAGATACTTCAGCCCAAAATGCTGTTGTATCAGCTGTGTTTTTCTGTTAGACAATGGTTAAATTTTGCCGTTGCATTTCAATTTTTCCAATGATATTAGGTTCTATTTACAATTCTTCTAAGTCAATCAAAGGTTCTTTACAAACTCTCAAGGCATTACAGATTCTCATTATAGATAAGAGTGACATCTTTTTTTAAGATGCTTTTATTTGTTGGTATTCTCTGTCTGATTTCTTTAAAAAAGCAAAGAATGAAGTCACGGCATCTTTTTCTAATAACCTCCTGTTCAGATTCAGGGTAATTTACCTCTTTGATTAGGTTTTCTGTTTTGTAACCCAAATAGAACGTTGGATTTACGTACTATTCTACGTTGCATGTTAAACAGATAAGTGTACCTGATCTTGTTGGTACAATATGCTGGAATAAACTGTTAATGAGAAATAAAAGATTGTCTAACAGCATGTTTTGATCAGCATCTCTTGACTGGTAATTCATTCCTTCTACCTGATCAGCCCTTCTATCAGATCCTTCTATCTGTGCTTTAAATAAAACATATAAACTTTGTTACTGTTATCATTAAACACATTGAATAACATTTTTCACATATTCATTTCAAAGTGACACTTGAGTTTAAACCATTGGTCAAATAAATGTAGCAGAAGCTATGGAAAGCCACCTTGTTTTGCATGCTTGGATAATCTTCAATGGATAGTGGCCAACATTGATTGTTGCATAAAGTTGCTTGTACGCTAAGTGACTAGAACAAGACCTTCTGAACAAATTGCATGTTTCACTAACTAAAAGTTTGAAATGTCTAAGAAATATTGAACAATGCTCAGCAATAAATGGGCATTGTCTTGCCTCAACCAAAAATAACAGTATCTGAACAATTTTCACTAAACACCAATTTAGAATTGCTCTTTAACAAAGCCAGCTTAGCAGAATGCTTTTTTGCCTTGACATGTTACTTAATAGCCTACAATAAAAGGTCGACTCTGCCATAAGATTGATTGTTCCTGAAGTGTGAAAAGGACAAAAGATGAAGATGCGGTATATTGTATTTCAAAATTTTCTCCAAGCTCCTATCGGTAAGGCGGCGGATAGTGGGTTTGACCCGGTTTAACGGCGACAGGAGGAACCACTCGGTGGACATCCACGGTATTTTAGTTAATTGCCAGTACTTAAGAGTAAATTGGGGGTCGGTCGGCCCTTATTTTTAACAGAAGTAAATAGTTGTAAAAATGACATTAATTTAAATTGGAATTTAAGAGGCCAAAGTTATATACTCACACCAGGGCCCACGTTTTATTCTTTGTTAATAATTTGTTCCGTTTGCAGAAAGAGAAGTTGGAGAAAGTGGAAGCTCTGATTGCCAGGCAACACATCATCACAATCATCGGAAAATACCAGACCAGGCTGATGGAACTGTCGGAGGTTCAGAAGCGGTCCATGCTGCTGATGAACGACTGGCTGCTGAAGGAGTTTCACATTGTTGTCCGCAACATCTACCCTTCACTGGGCGAGACCGTTCCCACTTCCACCGATCTGATACCCTGCAGAGAGAAGTGCAGAATATGCGGAGAGGACGTGCCCTTGGACAAGATCCGCTACGGAGAGTGTTCTAAGTCGCACAAGTTCGGACGTTGCTGCAAGTCGTTGCTGCTGTGCGACTCCGGCTCTTACCTCAAGTGCCGCTCGTGTAAGATTCTGGGTCGCAGTCCTGCCATCTGGTTCCCAGACCCCTTCTGCACTTTCTGTAACGACGTCATCCGGTAGCGCACGAGAAACTCTGTAAGATGTACAAATTACTTTTATTCTTTTAATAAAATAGGGACGACGACGGCTCCGCCATCGGTCTCTTCACCATCGAAAAGTCAGGCATAAGGTTTCATTTGGGAAAATTCATCGAGACGGGATTCAACCTAATGCTGTTTACCAGATATTTTATGACGGGGCCCGAGGCCCTTCTCCGCCTTTCGTCCGAGGTCGAATCCTGGAAAGAATTCTCTCCAGGCTCCTCTAGCGGGGAAGAAGGGCCTCTTTCCCGCGCCGCGGCCGCCTTTCGCTTGCATTTTATCCCTAGAAAAAGTTTGGCAGTTAATTCCGGGCCAACAAACGCTTGCCGGCACTAGCAAGGCGGAAGAACCCGCATTATGACATCCGACCATAGCCTGGCGACCGGTCAAAACGATCGTGTAGTAGCTACTACTCGGTCGAATCCCCTACGACTGTACCGGAGTTTGGTACGAGGTAAGTATCTGCGGGTATTGCCGTCTCAAAAAAAAATATGCCATCCGCACGAGTATCGGACGAAGGTAAAAAGGAATACGGCGAAATTTCCGTTAGCGGATGTTTTTACCACCCCCTCCGGATCTTTGACAGGACGTGTCATATTTGCCCGTAAACAGCGAAGGCTGGCCCGTAATATGCCTTACGAAAACACAACGTCCCGCATTCGACATTGCGAAAGTATTAACGTAGAAATATTTTAAAAGGAAAATTGGACGACGGATTTGGGCCATAGGTGTCCCAGGAAGATGGGAACGGGGGAGGAGGGTGGACGAAACTGGCCCCTGTGTTGGGTTTTTTTACGGGATGCCGGGTGTGGGTCGATTTTTATCTTCGCTCTATCTGGCCAAGTCCCCTTTACGGTTTCGTACTTACCGCCCATCTATTCTCCGAGTATAAAAGAAGGCGGAAACGGCCGAGGAACTTCCTTCCCCTTTCTCTACCGCCGGTACCCGAAAAATTCCGATCTTTGACCTTTGGGTCGCCGATTAAAGCCGGTTGGAATTTCCACCGCCACAGAAAGTAAAACTCGATCCTCCGTAGCTCTTGCGGCTGTAGAAAGCTTATCACTTATCGGGACTACGTATCCAAAATTAACATTTTCAAACGTTACGTACTGAATTTGTTTTCCGGTTCGCGTACCCTGTCAAACAGGAGCTCGGAGTAAATATTAATTTAAATGACTGAAAGTTTTAATTTCAATTACTACATTTTATTTTAAAATTTTAAAGTGTGTTTTCAGTCCACAAACAACATATTTATTCTGTATAATAAATCTTTCTTCTAATGTTTCTGTTATTCTGTTTAATAAGTTACGTAATGTGAAGATCCGGTGGGGTTAATTAGAGCTAATTAGCCTGTTAATTATAATTCGAAGGAAAAAACCCGGATCAATCGGAAACTTCCTGTTTGCCCGCCGATTGAAAAGATAAAAACGTATCAAATATCTCTCTGAAGCCATCTTCTGGTTTTGTCAACGAGAAAACCGAAACGATCTTACGCCAAATTTTACAATTCGGAGCCTAACATCAAACTATTTAAAACAAAAATAAATAAGAAATACAGTTAATTAAGAGATAGAAAAAAAAACCCGACAGGAAAACTAGTACTTTGAGAATATATTATATAACGGGTGGACAAGCAAGAGTTCAGTGGGAGCCGAAATGTAGGTTTTGCAAAATGCATGGGAGCCACAGTTCTGTACTTTTTTATACTGTACCGAGATTGTATTATATAATATAAATATAATATAAAACAAATATTGAATTTTTTTAATAAACATATTTTCACAAAATTGTGGAAATAAAATTGTAAAGATAATAATAATAAGCAGAAATTAATACTTTCAGCAAGAGCCGCGTGTAACTCAAAAAGAACCGCATTTGCCCATGTCTGCCATATAAGAGTGGCTGTAGCGACGCCATGTTGAAAGAAAATTGAATACACGTCCGCCATTTTCCTTTTAGTCAAGGAGCGTACTATAAAAAATAGTGGTTGCTAATTAGATATTTTTTTCGATAATTAGTGGTTACTTCGGAAGTAAGAAATTATTATTTATTTGTGAAATTGCCGTTTTTATTTTCCTTTTTCCGGAAAACGGTTTTGCCTTTTCGCGCCACCGGAGGGCGCTAAAATAGCGCGCGACATGGCGGCCGTGTGGAGGTGGGTCAAGATCGCCTCGATACTTTTGTCGACGGTCTGTCTGGCGGTGTTGTTGATGCTCCTCCGATCCGACGGTGAGTCGACCCATTCCTCTTTCCGAATAATTATTTTCCGTCAACCGTTCGTCCTGGAATATTTGCCGGTGTTTTCCCATCTCGGTTCGTTCGTCCCCGGAACTTCTCTGACGTTCTTCGGTTTCACGTCCTCGACTCGATCACACACGGCCTTCGGAGTCCGTCCGCCGGCCGAATTACGCGCCCGAAAAGCCGACCGGTTGTCTGTCCGTCCCGGAATCTCTCCGGGAGGCGACCTTTTTGATCCGTCGTCTTTCCGGAATGCCGCCGGAGGCGTCGCGCCGCCGCTTCCTTTTTACGACAACGGCCCGCGGGAGGACCGGAAACGACGAGAAGACGGGGATGCGGCCTTTCGTCACTTCCGGGAGGCCTGGGTTGACCGTTCCCGGGAAATTTCGATTTCCGTTCCGTAAGACGAGGATGCCGGCGACCTCCCCGGTCGTGCGGAGATGCCATCTCCGTTACGGAGACCCTTTCTTCTTCTGCCGGATCGTTCCTCTTCTCCGCCGGTCCGCGGCCCGGAAGGTTCCTCCGGGAGTCGACGGTTCTGGATTCCTTTGGTGGATCTCCAGAAAAATTAGGATTCGAACGATTGCGTCTCGCTCGAATTGCATTTACGCGTCGTCCTCCGGGAACTACGCGTTATTTCTTTGCCTTTTTGTTTTGTGTTATTGATTGTCGTGTTGCTGATGCCAAGTGTCGATTTTGAGCAAAATAATAACAATTACTAGATTTGTAAATGCTTAATTTTTGCTTTATTTTTTGCTTGCTTTTCCATAATTTATAATCTGGTTTTATAATTTATATTTTGAAAAGAAAGATGCAAAAATGTTTATCGGTTGAGGAAGCTTTGATTATTTTCTAAATAGATTAGATAAAGATGAATCCAACTTCAAATTATTTGATTTCGTTAAAATGTAAGAACGAAATGTGTAAAATTTTGGTTTTGACAATAAATTGTATTTTGATTTTATCACACTGTTTTTTTTTAATTATTAAATTAAATAATTGGGCTGCAATTTGAAAAAATTATAAACCTAAGCTCCCACCGACTTCCTTGCCGTCTGTCCTTACTTAATCTCGATAATGGAGTTAGACGAAAGTTGAAACTAGATATAGAAAGCTTAGGGACGGGAGGCCAAGATGGACTATATATGAGCTTCTGGCGCAAACCATAAGTCCGATTATTTTGATTAGACGACCAACACGACTCTATTGCTAACGGGAAACATATAATTTACAAGATATAGAACTTTTGAAATCCTTTTTAATTACTGAGTGTAAAATCTAGTATAGTAGAATAGAAGTTTTCAAAGTTTTAAAAAAAATGTATAAATTTTTTATTCTAAGAAAGCTTTAATTCAATTAATGGTTTAAAAACTTTTATACTCTTTATTTTTGTCTTCAAGTATATAAATGTAATTTTTTTTAAATACAGAAGTGGTCAAAAGTAGTTTTACAATTGTGAATAAGAACAACACAAGAGTTTATTATTTATTGAGGTAGAGGATTTGTGAAGCCTCTTATATGTGGCTTACAGAATTGTGTTAGTTCTCAAAATTTGATGGTCAATTTTGACAAAACTTTGCCATTTTCTATTAATTGTGATCCAAAAATGTAATAAAAATGTGGGTTCGTGACTTTATTTTGAGATACGATGGAATCGGTGACAGTGTCCGTGCTCCCCAGTGCAATCAAGCATACCTAACAGAATTTAAGGGATAAATACATATATATATAAATGAAGTATTGTACACGTCTAATGGAAGATGGGTGCCAAAAATGAACAAAACATAAGAATAATCAACACCAAGCAAATTTAAGAATTGCCTCTTCCATGTCTGGAAGATGCAAGAATTACTGTTTCTTTCTGGCAAGTGTAAGGATTGCCTTTTTGTGGCCAATGAGTGTAAGGATTGCCTTCTCATGCAGCCGGGAACTGTTTTCTTCTGATCACAACATACATTTCTCTCTCTATATCTCTCTTTCTTATGCACGCACGCAAGCTAACATACACATTAAAACACGTCAGTACTCAGGTTAGATGGAGCAAAAGATAATATTTAAATTATATTTACTAATAATAATTGAAAAGTTTTTAATTACAAACCACGATGCTCTGCCTCGATTCTATTGTAATATGACAAAGCACTAGTGTCTCTAGTTTATTAATTATCATATTATTTATTTATATTTGTCTTTTGACGACATTAATTGTGTCTTTTCTGTATGAACAACAGTAAACATACTTTTGCTCACCCCTGTATGTATTTTTGTTTAATTTGGCCATTTATTTTTTCTCAGTTTAAATAGTTTTCTACCAATTAGTTATTTAAATAGTTAAATGTATTATTAGATAATGAAAATAATTAATTGTAATAAGGATATTTTGATTTTAAAATAGAAAGTTTTAGTGTAAGCAAGTGAACATTTTCTTTAACTTTGACTAATTTNACCACGATGCTCTGCCTCGATTCTATTGTAATATGACAAAGCACTAGTGTCTCTAGTTTATTAATTATCATATTATTTATTTATATTTGTCTTTTGATTGATTGATTGAAATTGATGACATTAATTGTGTCTTTTCTATATGAACAACAGTAAACATATTTTTGCTCACCCCTGTATGTATTTTTGTTTAATTTGGCCCATTGATTTTTTCTCAGTTTAAATAGTTTTCTACCAATTAGTTATTTAAATAGTTAAATGTATTAGATAATGAAAATAATTAATTGTAATAAGGATATTTCGATTTTAAAATAGAAAGTTTTAGTGTAAGCGAGTGAACATTTTCTTTAACTTTGACTAATTTTTAATAAATTAGAATTTCCTATTGAAATTTAATTTGTTAAAATTTATATAATTGCTGTATTTATTTATTTATTTTGTGTAAAATCATCAATATATTAGAAAAGTAGCCAACTTGAAAGGTAAAACTGCACTAAATGTTTTTAGGGGAGTTTCTCCTCATCCTCAGATGATAATCGCCAATCTTCAAGCGTAAAACGTGAATATTGCGAGATACAAATTACAAGGTTAATCATTTGACATGTTTTAAAATAAATTTAAAATATAAATTCAAAGTGAAGACATGCTTATGTGAAGGTATTAAAAAGTTGATAGTTTTTAATTAAACTAATATTTGAATAAATTTGTAAATTTGATATTTTATATAACTTTCGATTTGAGTATGCGTTAACAAATAAGACAATAGCTTAGTACAGTGGCATACATGCACAAGCTCAGGTTGTGTATTGTCTTTGCTAACATGTGTTTACCTCATGCGTATAATACAGTACTTAGCCTTAAAAGGGAAATAGCTACAGAGAAATCTTTCTGAAATACTGAGAAATTTACCTCCGTACTCATTGATCATGTCCTTAATTTGATTGTGTTTATGAGTGAATGTGTTTATGATTATGATTGTGAACTGTTCCAATTATGTAAATTAAGTGTAAAAATAAATATGATTTATCATTTTTATTATATGATGATTTATTTTATTTTATTATTATTATTATTACTAGACAAAGGAGTCCAGTAATAGTAATAAAATAGACTTCTTGTATTTCATATTGGACTGAAAATTAATGTGTATTTTAATTATTAATATGTATTAGAAAATTAAATCTTAACTCTGACCTATTTTAATAAATTATGTTAAATACTTGGTGTCATTTTCCCCAATCATATGAATAGATAACTGTTGGTCTAGTAGATTGGTTGCCTGCCACTGACCAGTCACAGTGTGAATCAACATTAAATTCTGATTGGAATTTAAATTCAGCATAACCTATCCCCTTCGAAAGGGGATATAGGTTATCCACTAAAATTAAAGTACTTGTTTATACAGTATAGCGTCGATTATCTGAATCAATTGGGGACTGGGGTTGTTCGGATAACCGATTATGTACGAAAAAATACATTATTAATATGGTATATTAGTATATCCCAATAATAGTATATTAATATAGACCATGTTTAAATTTTTCTTCGTTGCGTGTCGCTTCGTGTTGAATTTTCATTGATGTTAAGCATAACGAAAATTTTTATAATAATAATCATGGCTACTGTATTGTTAAAAATTATTTTTTAATTTTGTACAAACAAATATATAAAAACAAAAACATTATACTTTTGAAGTTAATCTAGTATGAAAAACATTCGATTCAGCACGACACAGTCTGACAGGAACGCTTTCGGTTAACCGATATTTCGGTTGGTTGACGTTCAGATAATCGAAGCTCTACTGTACTTATTATTATAAAATGGCAAAAAGCTTAATTTTGAAGGTAGAGACAAGTTTTATTAAAAAAGAAATATAAATGCTAATAACAAGTAAAATCTTCATTAAATCCAATCTCACTCAAGATATAACACATGACCAACTTCTATCTCCCCGTCTTGTTGACTTTTAATAACCAAAATTTAATAGCCTCAATCCTCAATACCCAAACCTCCCTGCAAAATTTCAGAAATTTTTGACAAAAAGTAAAGAGCAAGGTTCAAACTGGGTGAATAAAATTGTGCCCTCTCCCACATACTAATATCCATACGTACAGAAAAATCCCCAACTTGTTTTGCAGTCTCAGAGTCCAAAACTAAAAATCTTGCGGAGGGGTCATTTTGATTGATTGCCATACTTTCCCACTGTTAAATATCAATATATAACAGCCAGGAAAGTAATAAAATTGTCAAATATGAGCTTGCATTCAAATTATTTTAAAGTAATAATTTAAAACAGGGATCTGATGAAAGCTCTATTTGAAATTAAAAAGTCCAAACTTAATACTTAAATTATTGCCAACAGAAAGATAAATGTTGTATAAAAATAACATTTCTAAATAATAATCAGTTTTTTTTAAATTTATAATATACAATATTTACTGTAAATTTTAATTTTTCAGATAATAAATATACAGAAATTGAATTTCATTATTACGGTAATGTGGAAAATTCAGAAATTGCTAATTCTAAAATAAATGAAGTATCTTATACAATTATTAAGAGATCTGCGGATAATGCCTATCCTAAAAAAGCGACAACTGTTGACGAAAAGAAACATCCCAAGAAAAGCATAATACATTTGACTAATAGCAATGGTAAGCCAGATGTTTCCTCAAAAGCTTGGACCAGTCCCGACGACGGCGAACCCATCCTCGGACCCACATTTCCTCCCAACACTTCGACAACCGTAAGTNTCAAATTATTTTAAAGTAATAATTTAAAACAGGGATCTGATGAAAGCTCTATTTGAAATTAAAAAGTCCAAACTTAATACTTAAATTATTGCCAATACTTAAATTATTTCTAAATAATAATCAGTTTTTTTTTAATTTATAATATACAATATTTACTGTAAATTTTAATTTTTCAGATAATAAATATACAGAAATTGAATTTCATTATTACGGTAATGTGGAAAATTCGGAAATTGCTAATTCTAAAATAAATGAAGTATCTTATACAATTATTAAGAGATCTGCGGATAATGCCTATCCTAAAAAAGCGACAACTGTTGACGAAAAGAAACATCCCAAGAAAAGCATAATACATTTGACTAATAGCAATGGTAAGCCAGATGTTTCCTCAAAAGCTTGGACCATTCCCGACGACGGCGAACCCATCCTCGGACCCACGTTTCCTCCCAACACTTCGACAACCGTAAGTGACGCAAATTCAGCTCGGTGTTATTAAAAATTTACAGGAAATTAAATAGTATTGATATATTGGTTTTATATATATTTTATAACTTAAATTATAACCAAATTTATTAGAAGAGTAGCCAACTTGAAAGATAAAACCGCACTAAATGTTTTTAGGGGAGTTTCTCCTCGTCCTCAGATGTTAATCGCTGATCTTCGAGCGTAAAACGTGAATATTGCGAGATACAAATTACAAGGTTAATCATTTGACATGTTTTAAAATAAATTTAAAATATAAATTCAAAGTGAAGACATGCTTATGTGAAGGTATCAAAAAGTTGATAGTTTTTAATTAAACTAATATTTGAATAAATTTGTAAATTTGATATTTTATATAACTTTCGATTTGAGTATGCGTTAACAAATAAGACAATAGCTTAGTACAGTGGCATACATGCACAAGCTCAGGTTGTGTATTGTCTTTGCTAACATGTGTTTACCTCATGCGTATAATACAGTACTTAGCCTTAAAAGGGAAATAGCTACAGAGAAATCTTTCTGAAATACTGAGAAATTTACCTCCGTACTCATTGATCATGTCCTTAATTTGATTGTGTTTATGAGTGAATGTGTTTATGATTATGATTGTGAACTGTTCCAATTATGTAAATTAAGTGTAAAAATAAATATGATTTATCATNTATGAATATATTTTTAAGTTAATAGCCGTTAATAACTATTTTTACTAAAATTCAATCACTGCACTTTGACTCTCAATAAACAACTGTCAAACAACACTGCTTTATTCAGAGATACACACTTAAACAATTCATTTTTTTACAGTTCATCATATGAACTAACTGCTTTCGGATCTTTACTCCATTTTCAAGATTTCATAATCCTTAAAATTACAAAATTTAAGGCTGGTTAGGGCCATACAGAGTCATTCGACTGCCCGACGTCACTATAACCGATATAGTTTCACTCAAGATTAAATTATCCTGGCTTCATAAGATGTTCTTTTACATCTTAGCGGTGGCCTCTCGCACACATTTATAAAGTTGGCTCCAACCGCCAGCGGTCATATGGCTGTGTGCGGGCCTGATTGGTATGACCGCCAGCGCGTTGGATGGTGATTAACATGTTAAAAAATAAATTAGAATATAATTATATTTAAAAAATTACTTTAATGTAAATACATCCTTATGTTGAACTAGATGTAAAAAAACTATTATTGCAACTAAATTATCATACAATGGGTGTAGAAGTTAACTTAGCATATAATTTGATTTCAAGATTTTCATCTCAAAATTTTGGTTTAATTTATATCAGCATTTATAGTTGATGTGATGAGAGATTGCACTTGGTCAATACAACTGTGTGTATTTTAGGGGAGATAAGGTGGCAGGATGCAGTGGTACTCACCATCTGAAAACTTTTCTCTGCTGTTTTTTAAACCTCTTCAAGATTCTATTAAACTTTCTATTAGATATAAATGTGTTTATAAAAATGCATGTGACTAACTATTAAATCCATAGATCACTCTTCTCGCCCTCCTATTCTTTACCAATTATCACCCAGGCTACAGAGGGTTCACTTTTGTTTACACAAATGCTTTTTTCGGGGAAAAATGACATATTATAACAGATAACTCAAACAGTATAAGTACAGGCAGAAATTAGGACCATCTCTTAGAAGGTTCTGGAAGAAAAGAATTGGCCGAAAGAGGGACTTGAACCTGCAACGCCCACGTACATGCAGTTGCATTGCCAGTTAACCTCCGGACCTTTGATCTTCACTTCCAGAACTTATTAATTTAGACTGGTTATATCTAAATAAAATTTTCTTGCGAAATGATGGATGGTGCCATTTGCTTTAAAGGCATATAATCATCTTTTTATAAAATGTATCATTTTTGATACATTTTATAACGAAATCTCAGTCAGGTACTGTACATATCCTATTGGGTATGTTATCACCCTTCCTTGAGTATGAGATGTAAACATTTATCTTTCGCTTGTGTGGAATAGTCCACTTAAGTCAAAGGTTGATTTATTATAAAAGAATATGTTGAACTGATGTAGGTTTAGGCATTAATAATTACCTGTAAAAACATTTTTAATAATGATAAAAATTTTATATTTTTTGTTGAAGAAGTAATTTTTTTCTATAAATAATGAATAAATTAATCACAAACCTGACAATAAATATAGTACAGTATGAGATTTTTTGCTTATTTGTTAAATATTGACCAGTTACAATGTTGTTTTTTATATTTATTTCTTCCATAATTATAATATAAAATTCTCTGCAATTCATTGTGATTCAGATTTAATCTTAAATGTTTAAAAAGAGTCATTATTCTAAAATTAATGTTAAAGTATTTCTCTTTTTGTAGCCTGAAGAACATTATCACATATACTACAATTCAACATTTTATAAGTCTGCGGAACAGGCCTTACCTTTCCTGGTCGATTTTCAGAAATTACCGGAACAAAATATTACTGTAAACAAGTTACTCTCCGACTCATATAGGAAAGCATCGGTATGTAATTTTCTTTATTTGTAGTAATGTAATGTTTAATTTTGTTTGTAGAATAATTAAAAATTACAAATTTATATAATTGAAGTTAATCTATCAATGTGTAGGCCTCAATGTTGTTTGTAATAAATACATATTTGTTAAGAATATTATATGTATTATAAATTCCTGTATAAATTCTAAACTATTAAAGCATGCTGTTTCTATTATTAATATTCTAATTTTCTGTTTTCTATAGAAAGATGTATTAAAACATTTTTAATCAGAAATTTAATAAGCATAGTCTTTTTATTAAAGGTTTTACAGAATTCTTCAGTTTAGTATCTATTAAAATATCCTTATACAGGATTTTTATAGATTCTAAACAGAAGCACATTCCACACAAGTTGCTACATAAAAACATTTTACCAATCAGTGTCTATCAGTTATCCTCTAATAATTAATAACTACACAAAGTTACGATCCATAAAAAAAGCATGTGATTCAAATTTTAGATCACAAGCCTTAGGATATCCTTTTAAAAATGGACTAAAGCATTCACTTCTCAAAGTGAGTAGTTCTTTTATGCTGGTTCATTGGTTTTGTGACGTAGTAGATCTTGGATAAATATTAACCAATATTGGGGTATTGTTTTCATAGAAAGAGTTATTTCACTTGAATAAGTAACAAGCAATTCAAGCACACTCAAGATCGATATTGAAAGTTATTTGTAAGGTGTAGTTCAGGAGTTGGTAATTTTTTCAAGTGTGCATGCCAAAATTTTCTCATTACCAATCAAAATATTTGAGAGTATATTATTATTTGATCTACTAGCTAGTATATTATTATTTGATCTGCTAGCTAAGAAATATACTCTCAAATATTTGATATGGGAAAGCTAGATTTAGCAGAAAATCTGCTAAATTGTTAACTCTGCTTGTAAATAAGTATTTCACAGAGATAGATGTCTTGAAAATAGGATATTTATTTCATTTTCTTATTACTTGTTATTACTGAAACAGTTGATAGAACTTGTTTCTTTATTGCATTTTTATTTAGTATCACTTTCCTCAATAAAATTGTTGTTTATTTTTTAACACATTGACCACTATCTGACGTGCCAGCGGTTGTGCTGGTTAGGGCCGTGCAGAGCCATACAATAGCCCAACATCATTATAACCAATGTATCATAGTTTTACTCAAGGTTAAATTATCCTGGCTTTGTAAGATGTTGTTTTACATCATAGTGGTGGTCTCTCACACACATCTATAAAGTTGGCTCCGACCACCTACAGTCATATGGCTCTGAACAGCCCTAATTACTATGACCGCCGGCACATCAGATGGCTGTCAACATGTTAATTAAGGTGAGCCATCAGTTGCATGCCAGAAAAAGTCATTGGCCTGTCACATTTGGTACATGTGCCAAGAGTTGCCCATCCTTGGTAGAGTTCAGTCAGTACTTTTTAACAGAATTTTTTCTTATGTGGTTTATGTAAATTTCATTTAACTTTATCTTATTAATGTTAATTATGGGGAAAAATCTCTTAATTTTAGTTCATCTGTATAAAATAAGTTAAAAAATTTTGCATTAGTGACTATTTACATATTAATGGGATGTCCCTTATGAAATTTAATATAGTTCTATGGAATAATAAGTCTTAATTTACATGAATATTTACATGTGCTTTGAGAATGAAACTATGTGTAAATTGTGATCATATTGTATTCAAAATATCCAAACAGTAATGATTTCTCAGTGAAGTTTTTATTGAGGCAGAGCATTAGCTAAGCCTATTCAATGTGCTTACAGAATTGTGTTCATCTTCAAAATTTGATTGATCGATCTTGATTAAACTTTGCCATTTTCCATTAATTGTGATGAGGAATCCAAAAATTAGTAAAAAATGGGGGTCCATGACTTCATTTTTGAGATACAAGATCTTAGTATGAATTCGTGTGACAAGGCAATATTGCATGAATTTTGTGACTTTGTTGTCCACTGTTCTACGGTAACTAGCATGTCTTCTATCAGCTTATAGAATTGAATTCGTTTTCAAAATTTGATAGGCCAATTTTGATAAAAATTTGCCATATTTCATTAATTCTGATGAGGAATTCAAAAATGTAATAAGGGTCCATTTAAATGTAAAAAATAGGGGTCCGTAACTTCATTTTTTAATGTACAAAGGGAATAAAGTGACAATGAATGTACTCTCTGATGTGACTGAGCATGCCTATAGGAATGTAGGAATTGAAAAGAAAAACAGTATTACATATACCTAACAGAAAATAGATGCAGAAAAACAAGCAAAACACAAGAACAAAGTAATTGATGGAGATTGCTTTGTTCTGGATCACTTCTCCACGTCAGCAAGTATGAGGGTATCCTCTCGCACCATGGCCAACAGATATGAGGATGGTCACAAACAGGCAACAAGTACAAAGTTTGCCTGTTTGTGACCATCAGGTAATGTACAAGGAACACCTCTTCTGTACTTAACAAGTTCAAGGTTCACTTCTTTCTTTCCATCTCTGCTTCAATTCTATTGCAATATGACAAAGTCACACGATGTCCTAGTTTATTTTACAATAATTCAATTTTTATTTTCAGACTGTTCAATTATCATTTGATTTTCCTTTTTACGGACATCTTTTAAGAAATATCACCATTGCAACTGGAGGTAAATGTTTTGATTTCTTTTATAAATTTTTTTATTCAGTTTATAAATATTAGCTTTACACTCTTGATTTATCAAAGGCTCAACTTTGTTTCTTGTCAAAGGATAAGTACCAAATAGCATTCCCTCTATTCTGAAAGACAGTAAGTATTATTTGACATCAATTACATGGAATGATGATATTTTTATTCTAAGATACAGTAGTACCTCAGGATACGAACGCCCCAGCATACGAAATTGTCAGGATACGACATGAAATTCGAACATATTTTTGCTCCACGATACGAACAAAAACTCACTATATGACGTTAGATTAGTTTGCAGCGCCATTTTTTATTCACTTCTGTTTGTTGGTCTCAGTCGGCGCGTTTGCTTCGTCATGGAAGGATCTCGCTCGATAAAGGAAATCTTGAGGTATTATCAGAAAGTGACTGATTTTATTGAAAAGAAACATCCCGAAAAGGTTCACGCTGGCTGTATTGCTGCTCGGAGTAATGACATTTGCCTAAGTCATTTTAGAAACATTTTAAAAAGTAGGCAAAGCCAAACCTCTTTGGATAGATATTTTACCAAGCGACCTCTATCCAGTGAAAGTGCTGGTGGAAGTGAAGGAAAGAAAGCAAAAAGCAGTGAATAAAAATTAAAAAAATAATTAAAAAATAAAACAACACTAATTTTTTAAAATCTTTTCTAAGTTATTTTTAAGTTATTGTTACATTATGTTATGTAAGTTAAGTTTTAGTATCATTTCCCTTCTCCCTCTCTTCCGCCACCAGTTTACACCTCCACCGTCGTCTATCCTCAAAGGTAAAGTGCAAATAAAACTACATTTTTTTTAATCAATTATTATTCTATTATGGTTATTTATACATTTACAACTACAAAACGCATTTTTTAGTATTTTCCTTACTATAGTTATTATTATTATTTTTTAATGTATTACTTTAGCTTTAATTTGAGTGTTTTTCATGTTGGAACAAATTATTTGGTTTTACATGTAATCATATGGGGAAAAATGATCCACCTTACGACATTTTCATGATACGATCTGAGTGTCGGAACGGATTAATTTCGTATCCTGAGGTACCACTGTATTATCAACAAGAGAATGGAAATTGTTAGCTTCCAGTTCTTGAGAAAATATTTCGGAATAATTTCAAATTTAAGATGTTTCTCAACATTCTGATGTGTTTAACAGAAACAAAGTTGATTCTTTCATTTCTTGGTAGTATTGTAGTACCAACATTGTAGTATGAAAGATAAAGTTTGTTTAATTCTGCCATCAGAAGTAAACAGAATTTCTTCAATTCAGAAAGTATTTTCATTATTTATTTAATATGAACTTTTTCTGGTCTGCTAAATTTAATATAGAATATAATGAATGCAATATTATATATTTTTATTTTTTTAGCATTTTAAAGAATTAAAAGTATAAAAACTAAGTGATCCATTCTCAAATTTATTTCTGGTTTGGAGATTGCAAGAGTAATTGTTACTTACAAAAGACAGAAATTCATTTAAGAATATATTTTGTTAGTTTGATATTGGTTAGTTATATCTTGTTAATTATCATTAATTGGGATATGATTTATAAATGATTAGAAAATAATACATGAAAAAACGTTTGGTAGGTTTCAAAACTTTGCATGCATAGTGTAAAAGTGGAGTCTTAAAGATGTTGCAAAAAGTCAAAGACCACTAATTATGAACCTTGGATAGAAAATTATCATAAACAGATTTTTCTCGTTAAACAAAATATTTGTATAAACAATAAATCCACACACACACACACACACACACACATCCCCAATTTTTAAGTAATGACAAATGATCTGTTAAATTAGCAGGCTGTTATAAGGCTAATTTAATAATTAGATATAAAGTGGGGCAGATTAACCATCTACCTCTAGTCAAATTACTTTATATCTAATTATTAAATTAGCCTTACTATAGCATGATAAGTTGGCAGATTGTTTGGCAAAATATTTGTTTCCATTATCATCACATTATTGTTTTCTTTAAACTTTATGAAAAAAAACAATAAACTCTACAAAAAGATAAAATAAAGTAAAATTTTAAGCATTTGTTTGTTATTTTATAATTATTCAAATTAAATATTTAGCTCACAACTTGGAGTTGATAAATTTTGAGTTCAATTTTGACCCACCTTTGGAAAAAGAATTGCCATCACTTCATTTATAGCAAATGGTACAGTACATCAGGTCTTGTTACTACTTGTAGACAGATTGAATTTTTTGTAGCTTCATGATAGGATATTCCACTCACTAATTTTTAAGAATTATTGGAACTTCACCCTATGGAAATTAGGGTAGATATATGCTTTACATTTAATGCGTTAAAATTATCATATATTCTGTATATAAAATGTGCTTGATTTGAAACTATCCAAATGTTTTATGTCAATTCCAAAGAAATTAATAAGAGACATAGTAATTGGCTTTCTTACTGAACATTAACTGTTGCAAAAATTTATTTGCTTCTTCTTCTCTTGTAACTATTATTAAAATAGCATCAACATACAAAATCATCATAAATTCTATTGTTAAATAATCTGACATACAAACACAATATGCGTTTGTATGTCAGATTTCTGAAATTCTTCAAGAAACTTGAAAAATATTCATTTTAACATTATGAAGGTTGTTGTAATCCATACAGATTCGTTCATAATTCACAAACATGACCATTATTATCTTTAAAATCTTCAGGTTACTTCATATAAATTTTAGTGACCTGTCTTATGAATGCTGATTTAACATCAAACTGCCTAAGCTTGACTTTCTATAACTACAACATCTAAAATAGTTCATTTTGTGTCAAACCTTACCACCAGACTGAAAATTGTTAAATAAGAAATAAACGTCTTCCAACACTAGAGGAGTTACAATTCATCACTTCAAACAACCTTTACAGCTCCAGTGGTATGTGTTTACACCTTAGCAAACGTTTTTAACCTCATCGAGGTCTTCATCAGGCTACTTTAATTAGGAATTCAAACGCGTTTGGAACGGAACGTATACAATTCAAAATTAATAAAAACAGATTTAACGATACTCACGGAACGTTACGCACGCGCTGAAACGACTGTAAAGCACGTGTAATATAAGCCGTTACGCAAACTTGATATTACACATGCTTTACAGTCGTTTCAGCGTGTGCGTAACGTTCCATGAGTATTCTTAAATCTGTTTTTATAAATTTTGAATCGTATACGTTCTGTTCCAAACGCGTTCGAATTCCTAATTAAAGTAGCCTGATGAAGACCTCGATGAGGTTGAAAACGTTTGCTAAGGTGTAAACATATACCACTGGAGCTGTAAAGGTTGTTTGAAGTGCTGAATTGAAAATTGTTAAGAAATCTGTTAGTTAATTAATGAACTGGAACTTTTCAATAAACATTGACACACACAAAAAGTACTTTTCTTACTTAATCCAGCAACATTTATTCAGAATTACAAATATTTTCAGTCGCATTTAAAGGACTTCTTCAAGTAAAAAGCCATTTCATCTATCAAACGTTTGAAAAACAGAAACTTTCTATACATTTGTGAATTTGATTTGAAAAATTTAAATATTAAATTAACCAACATGAATGAATTCAAATAGTAAAAAAAAGTAGAAATTAATACTAAAATAAAAATAAATATTAAAAATAATACAATAAAATATGATGTGTTTTCATGCACTTACTTAATTGACATAATCTAGATTATTTGTTATTTGTAATCTGTAAAATTAAATGTGAAATATAACTAAAAAATAAAGACTAAATTATTGAAAACATTGCAGGAATTAGTGAGCGAGCATACGAATTACAGAATATAACCAGTATTTCCAAGTTTGGGCTAAGGAGATGTTATCATTGTTGATACAACCTCATTTTATTTAGCTTTATATATTTCTATGGCCTCGATTATTTGTAATTTTTCTCTGACAAAAATCTAACACATTAGCTTGTTGTCGCTGTTGGGACAAAGTGTGTGATGTATTGATTGTGATACAAGAATCTCCAATAAAACAAAATAAAATTATATATACATATTTTCTATAAATTTTAACATGTTAGTAATGTTTTTTCATTGATGATGTAAATACAACAATGTAAAAGAATTATAAAGTAACTTGTTAGTTCTATAAAGATATTTATTGTTGGATTATGAGATAAAGGTGGTATTATTTTCATTGTATGTAACATTTAAGTTTTTATTAATTCATCTTGAGTTTCTTTGAGCTGATAATTAAAACAAATTGGATTTTGATTTCGGTAAAGATTTCAAAGCATAAATCTATTTATTAATTACATTATCAATTTAATCTAATAGAGTATTTTTCTAAGTAAAAAAAAATCAGTAAAAACCATGGCCAATGGGATTACATTTAATTGTATAAATAAATATAAAAAATACACCTTTTACCTTTTGTTAAACATTGTATTTTTTTATTTTTTATTTATACAATTAAGTATATTTCTAGTTTTAAAAATATTATACTGAGAAGTTTATCATCAAATACATAAATTAGTCGTTACAGTAAAAGAATATATTATCCTGAATTTGAAAAGTTTATATTAGTGATTATATTTGTAAAATTTAATAATTTAAATACTATTAAATTAACTTTTTATTAAAGTATTCATAATTATAAATTCTAGGTTTTCTATACATGGAGGAGTATGTACATAGTTGGCTGGCAGCTACGCAATATGTTGCACCACTAATGGCAAATTTTGATACGAGTTTAAAAAATGAATCTGTGGTCAGATATTTTGATAATGGTAAATATCAAATTTTTTTATTTTATTGAACTAGATTTAATCTTATTTTTTCCTCTTTGAATCACGTTTAAAATGAAGTTTTTTCTCATACTTTTTAGAAGAAAAATGACAAAAAGTTTCGATTTCTGTCATTTAGAAATGCATTTAACGTGAACCAAAATATATCTTAACCTTTTTAATAAGATAATAATAGACATTTATTCTTATTAAGAAACCTGGAAAGGCAGGGAATAAGATTTTTAGCAGAAAAAGTCAGGGAATCTGCAAATACTATGGAATCTACCTGATGCTCTCACTCCTTTTTGATTTGAGCTCGTCTTTAAATTCAGTTTGGTATAGGGCATTCTATGAAAACTGGAATAACAAACAAATGGCTAGATTTGTTGCAATTATATCTTGTAAACTATAAATGATAATCTAACAATTTAAATTTTGTTGGATAGAAAGTTAATGTCCATATTTAAAATGGTGGGTAATGGGGGTGTACAAAGAGTGATGTAGAGGTTGCACGTGAACACTGAAAATGACAACACAGTGTGCGGTTTGGACAGTGAAACTTTGGATCATGAAGAGCTAGGACATTAGTTTTGGTGTTAGTGTTGATTTGTACAGAATGACAGGATCTACAATATTATTTAGCAATAATAACCAATAAAATAGAATTTGTAAAGTTACAAGCTGATAAATGCAAGTTGAAGAAAATTTTCATAATATCGAAGAAATTGCAAAGGAAATATGAACAGAAATGTAATGTAATGTAACTCATGATCCTTTTGTATTCATTGCTAGATGGAATGAAAAATTAGAATATCAGTATGGCAGTTCACGCGCTCTTTGTTTCAAATTCTCTATGATGATTCTTACGTAGACAATGTAAGAAACATATATCATTGGAAAGAAAAATTTAAAAGGAATTAGAAAAACCAAAATGACTAATGCAGATTGTATAGAGAGCATAAGAAAACAAAGTGCATCAATTCCAGTGTTAATATTTCAAGTGTACCACTGCTTGAACTGATATATATTGACTTGAAATGTGATAACCACCAAGACTTTATTCATTTACATGTTATCCTTCATCTGGTAATACACACAGATGGATTCACACCTTAAGCAAATGCAATTGTGTCCCATACACAACCCTCACAGTTTTTTCAACCTGTGTGACATTTGGTTAACTCATTGCAGTCAGTCGATGTTGTGGGGGAGGTAAAGAACTGTCAGTTGAATTAATGATATTGTGTACAGGACATTTTGAACCGCATGGTGAATCTCACTAACTTATGTATTTTTATTTGTATTCTTTGCTGCTGGCCATATACAGTATGTGGAGATTATCAATCCATCAAAATTGGCAGGATTATTACTTGTGATATGTCTTCTCTCTAACTGCAAATTTCCATCTTCAGATGGCTGAGGAACATTTTTCGGAAGTATACCAAAATATTGCCATAGAGTTAAAATCAGATTTTCAAAAACCATCAACAATGACCCACTTTCTTGCCAAAACTCAGCTACTCACACTATAAATTTCCAGGAGATACGGGAAGAAATGTAATGACCTTGAATGAGTTTGTGATGCGCCAAAAATAGCACACAATAAGTGATTTCGCCCTTACATGAAGTGCACAATTTCTTCTGTATAAATTATTTTGAATTTACTTCCTTCTTGCTTTAAGAAAATTTGATTTTATGCTGCAACATGAGTCTTTTTCTTATTTAATAAAATTTACAAATTAATTTTAAATTAAAATATGAAATTTTTTGAGAGACATAAAAATTATGTAGCTAATTACATAATCGATTTTATGCCAAGTTGTTTGTAAGTGAATAAAGTGGTTTTTTTAATTAAAAAAATATATATAATTGGGTACAAAATGGGCTTAAATAGACCTGGTAAAATATTACATAATGGAAAGGGAAAATGCGGAGACGTTAATAAGTCAGGGAATAATGTGACAATTGATCGAGGAAAGTCAGGGAATCACAGATGGGATTGCATGTACGGATACTGTATTATTAATCTAAATAATCAGGATGTCTGAGAAAGATTTATATTATAAAATTTTATTTAAAAAATGAAATAGTCTATCAAAATACAATTTGCAGTAAAAGAGAGATCTGCACAAAAAGTTATTTTATTACAAAAATTAACACAGAAGCCAAAATTGTTTTTTCTACATTCAGTGAATCTCAATTCATGTTTCTTTAGTTGCACAAAGAATACCCAATCAATAAGTGATTTGTTGTCAAGTGTTGTTTAAATGCAGCATAGTCCCCAAATAAGTGGTTAACATTTTTCTATAATATTGGTGATTGAAAGTGTTATTTTTTCTTTCAAAACAGTAACATTACAAACAATACACAATGTCTTTCACTTAACCCCAGAAAAAGAAATTCATTGGGGTTATGTTGGATGACCTAGGGGCCAGGGTGTTGGTCCCCACAGCCAATCTGTCATCCAGGAAACATTGTATCAAACAAATTATGTAAGAAAACTTCATAGTGAGAGGGGGTCACTATCCTATTTTGAAACATATCGGTCAGTTATTGATTGGACATTCTTCATGCAACTAAAAGAGTACGTATTGAGATTCACTGAATGTACAAAAACAATTTCAGCTTTTGTAATAAACTTTTTGAGTTAATCATTCTTTTACTTCAAACCATATTTTGATAGACTGCTTTGTTTTTTAACAAAATTTTATAATGTAGATCTTTCTTGGACACCCTGTACATATTAATAACAACTCAGCAAACCTGATTTTTGATTAAAGCCAGACAATCTGCCAAATTATCACACTATGATTAGGTTAAGTTAATAATTAGATATGAATTAATTTGTCTAGAGGCAGGCAGTTAAGCCGCATTTCATGATAATTTTAATAAATTGATTTTAATTTAGAATTTTTGGAATAAAAGAATTGATTCAAAGCAGGACTTGAAACTGCAACTTCCACTTATTATACAGATGCATTGTCAGTAATGCTATCCAGCCAGACCTCTGTCAAATTTTTTCTTCCAGAATTATTAATAATACAACCATACAAAGTCACTTACAGCACAGAGTGGGTATGACTTTAAGGCCCATGGCCCACTTCCCTGGCACTTAGCCAGATATCACTGATAATTAATAATTACACTATGGATGTAATGATTAAAATTATCAAAAAATGGTGGCTTAATCGACTACCTCTAGACAAATTACCTTGTATCTAATTATTAACTTAGCCAGATAATTCAGCCTTTATTATTGTAAATATATTAATAAGCTTTGTTCAATATTATTTTTAATCTAAATAATTTAAGATAAAGTCGGTTTAAAAAGGAACCATCATTTATTCACTTTCAATGTTACAGAATACAAACTTTTGACGACTGACATTTTTTTTTGTAGGCTACTTGGCCGTCAAAATTAAAACTTCCCTTAAAAACAGTTTCAACTTTTAAACTTGTGGTTTTAATTGGATATCTTTTTCTGTGTTTTTAAAGGAAGTTTTAATTTTGATGGCCCAAGTAGCCTACGAAGAAATGTCGGTCGTCAAAAGTTTGTATTCCAGAGCATTGAAAGTGAATAAATAGTGGTTCCTTTTTAAACAGACTTTATCTTCATTACTTTTAAACATAATTGCCATCTAATGAAATTTTACAATTATACATTAGTTTGAAGATAATCAATCTGGTTAATTATTGGAAAAACTTCTACTAAAGTTGACATATTATCTATCTATGAAATTAACTCTGAATAAAACTGCAAAGAAAAAGAAATGATACTCATTTGAAATACGGATATATTAAGCAAGACTTTATCATTTTTATGTTCAATGTTTCTATTGAAATTTCATTGAAGAAAAAAGTTAAAATGACATTGAATAGTTGAGTATCTGCTATCAACCTAAATTTATATCAGTTCTTATATTTACATTATTTACAGTTTGGTTAATATATAAAAATAGAAACATGTAACATAAATGTTTGTGAGGTAAGTAAAAGTCATGAATGACAAATCAATTTGACTTTATTCTATGTCATAACTAGACAAAGAAGGAAATATAAGGAAAATTATCATCTCTTCTTTTCAGTATGAAAGTTTAATAGAAACACAAATGCTATTTACTACAAGAATCATTTCAAAGTATAAGTTTCAATATTTTTAAGAAAAGAATTTGTTTTTTATTTTTAAATATTAAAGCCANCTGCGGTACCACTGTATTATCAACAAGAGAATGGAAATTGTTAGCTTCCAGTTCTTGAGAAAATATTTCGGAATAATTTCAAATTTAAGATGTTTCTCAACATTCTGATGTGTTTAACAGAAACAAAGTTGATTCTTTCATTTCTTGGTAGTATTGTAGTACCAACATTGTAGTATGAAAGATAAAGTTTGTTTAATTCTGCCATCAGAAGTAAACAGAATTTCTCCAATTCAGAAAGTATTTTCATTATTTATTTAATATGAACTTTTTCTGGTCTGCTAAATTTAATATAGAATATAATGAATGCAATATTATATATTTTTATTTTTTTAGCATTTTAAAGAATTAAAAGTATAAAAACTAAGTGATCCATTCTCAAATTTATTTCTGGTTTGGAGATTGCAAGAGTAATTGTTACTTACAAAAGACAGAAATTCATTTAAGAATATATTTTGTTAGTTTGATATTGGTTAGTTATATCTTGTTAATTATCATTAATTGGGATATGATTTATAAATGATTAGAAAATAATACATGAAAAAACGTTTGGTAGGTTTCAAAACTTTGCATGCATAGTGTAAAAGTGGAGTCTTAAAGATGTTGCAAAAAGTCAAAGACCACTAATTATGAACCTTGGATAGAAAATTATCATAAACAGATTTTTCTCGTTAAACAAAATATTTGTATAAACAATAAATCCACACACACACACACACACACACACATCCCCAATTTTTAAGTAATGACAAATGATCTGTTAAATTAGCAGGCTGTTATAAGGCTAATTTAATAATTAGATATAAA